ATAAAATCAGCAGATAACCTTATCGAATAATGGTCATCTCTGGATATCATAATGAAAACGTATTATACTCGATAAAAAGTTTATTCAAATCCAATGACATTAGGATTTGATATATTTAAACAATAATCATAAGCTGATTTCACTATCACAATGTTGATGCTTCTCATCGTATGAGATTTTCAAACAGCTGTTTTGAAAATTCTCTTGTCAAAAATAATTATTGTCCATTTCAAAATATAATGTTCTTCACTGTTTTGTGAATAATTCGAGAACACCAACAGCTAGAGATCTGCAATTTTCACCAATCAAAAGAGGAGATCGGGGGACGTCTTTTTCTCCAGTAATGTATAAGAGGAAATTCTTTTAAAACTAATTATTTTCGAAAAACATTTAAAAGAAGACATAAAAATAACCTGCCATCTCGATGAAATTTTGATTTTGACCTTTGAGTTAGATAGAGGGACTTCAAATCTGTAGTTCAAGATATAATGCGTTTCCTTACTTGTCATTACATTTCCATCGAGATGTCAAGTTATTATGACAAAAAGTGAGAAAACTTAGTAAAAAATTAGCAAAAATCCCTATTATTTGCGCATGTAAACACATGATTTTATTTGCTCCACATTCGAATCTAATACGAGAACCAATTTGCATTGTATCTTGAACTAGAGATTTGAGGTTCCTCTATCTCAATTAAAGGTCGAAATCAAAATTTCATCTAGATGGCAGGTCATTTTTATGTCTTCTTTTAACTGTTTTTCGAAAATAATTAGTTTTAAAAGGATTTTCTCCTATATATTATTGGAGAAAAAAGATGTCCTCCGGTCTCCTTTTTCGATTAGTGAAAATTGCAGGTCTTTAGCTGTTGGTGTTCTCGAATTCTTCAAAAAATAGTGGAGGACATTACATTTTAAAATGGACAATATAGTTAGATTTTCCTATAGAATTAATATTATGCGAAAAAAAACAGAAACAAAAAGTGAGTGCAGCGCAAAAGCGAGAAAGTGACACGTAGTAAACAGAAATGAAAACTGCTCTATAATTCATATTTTTATGATAATATATCATTATAAGCACTAGAACGATACCGTTTTTATTTTGTTTGAGCTCTTATTATTTAATACAGATAGATCTCATTTTTGACAAACTTTTATTTGATATAAAATTTATTGTTGATAATGCATAAGCTTCGAAAGATTAAACAAGTCATTCAATGTCATTTGTCGAATGGTTATTGTTTTCATTATACGAAAAGAAATTAAAGTTTTATTAATCAATCATATATACATGGTCAAGTATGTATCAATCTGTAAGAAGTGATGAATATTCGGAAAAAAAACATTATGAACTGAAAGAAACACAGCTAAAGATCTCAATACGACTAGTCTCACGAATATAGTATTTTCAAATCGTATAATTCATCTTTATACCAATTAGCATGAACAATACATATCCGATTACTAATGATATAGTCTCGTAAAACGAAAAAAAACAAAACAACAAAAATAATATTTTTATAGTAATAATCATATGATTAGTTTTTCTTTTTTTTTTTCTTAAAAACAAAATGATAAAGTGATTATTTTACTTATGTCAATATTGTTAGATAGAATAAAATGACACACAAGAACAAAACAATGTAAAACAGTTTTAGTTTTTTTTGTCTTTTTTCTTTTCTTAATACGAGATATAGTTTTAAATTTGAACACAAGCACATAATGTTGGTGGACAATGTACAGCACATAAATGCAAACACCAATGCTCGATACCAACTATTGGTTTAAGAACTTCATTAGTTGGATAACAACGACGTGTTTTATTATTTTTATTTATTTGATTGAGAAATTCTTTTGAGGGATGAAGTGGAAATATAACATTCATTTTTGTTGTTGTTGTTGTTGTCGTTGTCGTTGTCGTCGTCGTCGTTGTCGATTCAGTGGTAGTTATGGTTGGATAGGCAAATATAGGCAAATGTTCGATATCCAAAGGAAAAACAAATGAATCAAAATATGGAAAAACAATTAATGGTTCATGTGTTGTAGTAGTTATTGTTGATGAAGATAATAATAAATTATTATCCGTAGGAGCAATACTAATATCAGCACAACTGAACAGCAACAATAAAAAATAAAAAATAAAAAATAAACTCAATTTTGAAATAAACATAGAAGACACAAAAAGAAATAATAATAATTACTTGTAAAATTCTTCTTGATGACCACAACCAAGACATGATTTTCCTGTCTCAATATCCATACCCCAACTATTTCCAGCATGATAACGCCATTGTAATACACAGTGTGAACATGATAAACCATCAGGTAAATGAGCTCTATGAAATTAAAGTCAATAAGAAAAAAAAGATCAATTATAAATATAACTTGTACCTTAAAAAAATTGAATCTATTCCTTCATTAACTGGATATTGTGTACCAAAACCTTCTATATGAAGTAGATTTCTATCTAAACATTCTTGTGTTACTTCACTATTTGGATCTAATGAAGGACATAAACGAAGTTCCATAAATCCTACATGATTTGCTGTTAACTATAAAACAAAAATCAATTTAAAATGTTTATAAGATGAATTCATTTTTCTTAAAAAAAAAAGACTTATATTCTATCTTACCAAGATTTTTACATCAATTAAAGAACCTGATATATAATTTCGAACAATAGTATTCGTTGCATATTTACCACCTAGTTCATGATCTCGTGAACCCGAATAAGAATCACCACAAACACCACATTTACCATCTAATTAATAATTTATCAAAATTTGACATATATATGATTACAAATAACTTACCATTTGCTTTTTGAATACTTAAACCACCACAATTTAATCCAACATCATCATAATTAGCAGGAATATTAAAACCTAGAATTAAAATTAACAATGAAAAAAAAAAAAGAAAAATTTATAAAGAAATTCTTACCAAAGCGCCATGCAGCATTTCGAGCAGGTGGATCTTCCATTCGTCCATGTCCAAGTATTTGTTGAAGATAGATAATTAGAATAAAACAAATTAATATTTCTCTATTCAAGCAAAACAAAAAAGAAAAATTAATTTTCTTTTTTAAAAAGAAAAGAACAAAAAGGTTGCAAATCATCTTACTTTCGCATGATTTTTTTTTCAAGCGCCTAGTATCTCTTGAATATAGACATAAGAAAAGACTCTTTTACATAGTACATATTTTTTGTTTGTTGCCTTTTATGTCTCGACACACAAAATAAATTCTGTCTATGTTGTCTATCTAATTGAAACAATAATCGATATCAAGGTCCGACGTTTTCTTTATACTTGGTTTCAACTTTCATCTAACAACTGATGAGTGTATCTTCTTTCTCTCTCTCTCGTACTAAATGATTGTTGATTGAAGGACAGTTTACAGTTGATCTTAAGAGATGACGATCTGTTTGATATGAATACATATGTCGGGTAGAGAAGAAAAAAAAACGAGACATAGAAATACAAGAGTAAGCTAACGAAAAAAGAGAATAAGTTCAATATTAAATCCGAACAGTTGCTTTTGTTGTCTTTGGTCAACAATAGAAAAAAAAGTAATGTTGATCCCTTTCGTCTTCTTCTTTTTCTCTTCTTAATTATGCGTAAAGTGAATAATACCGTCAAACATATAAACAATAAAGTGGAATTATTCGTTAGTAAATGAGGCATCTTGTTGCTTTTTCAAAAAGGTCATTTATTTTTACTGTTAATTATTTCAAAATTCAACCTTTCTTTTTTTTTTTTGTCGAAGTAATGAAATAACCAAATAAATTTATTATACAGATGATATTATCATGACATATAGAATGGACGGATTGTTTTAGAACGTTCGAAAGCTTTCGTTGAAATATGTTTATGAATGTTCTTAATTTTTTTGATATCAAGTTAAGAAAAACAACGAGCGAATAGTAACAAAACAAGAAAAAAAAAATCTATAGTCTGCAAGAGATTTTTCATCTTACATATTTTGTATTAGTATAATAAGGCTAAAGAATACATTTGAGTTCCACATTTCAACCCTAAAGGGACTACACTAACAAGTTTTTTTTTCCTAAAATAAACATTCATTTTGTATTAATACTCATACATAAAACAAGGAAATCCTAATGATCAAGAAAAGACAGTGAAGATCGTATGACACAAGATAATTAAATTATTTTACAAATCTTGTGAAAAAAATCGTATTAAAAGAATTCATATGTATATTTGATATCCGATTATTACATTTATTTTAAAGTCACGACATAGGAGAATTTTCGAAACTAATGGATTTTATTTTCTTTCTAATTTCAAATAATCTCTTTTTGTCATCATATGTAGGGAGCAGCGGGTCCACAAAAACGTGTAACCGGGCCCAACAAAAACTAAAAGATTGGACCCGAACCCACAGCTTCCTAATCATATGACTTCATTCAATTAAATATCTAATAGACAGAATCTTTCTTTTTGTTCTTATAAAAAACGAGATTTTAAAGGATGCACCTATTCTGCTTTACATAAGTCAAATAGAGAACTTAGTAAATATATTTTGTTTGTTTTTTTTCCTGTTAACAACCAGCAAATACGTTAGAAGACAAAGGAAAGAAATGTATGGATCATCATACAAAAAAAAAAAGAATGTCTAGCTCTAAAAAGAAAAAAGAACATAGTGATGTTATTACGAAGAAACATGTCTTTAACAAGACCGAAAAAAAGAACATTGAAATTATTTCATCAGTATATATAAGTGTAATAAACGAGACAAAAATTTAGGATAATGCGCAATCACGAACAAAAGTACAGAGATCGAGTGACAAACAAACAAAAAAAAGAAGTATGTCAAAGAAATTTGTTTTTTTTTTTGTTTTTTTGTTTTTCGATTATTAATTTTTACAGACAATAATGATGATAACAACTATTTATAAAGATTAAATAATAAGAATGAGAGCGAAAGAAAAAAAATGAAATGCAAGAAATGTTTTGTATTATTTGATATAATCATCACTTGTTTTATTTGTCACCGTTATCATCTTTTTCTGTTTTGAAAACTTCATCTTCATTATGATGTTCTTCATTAACTGTTTCACTCGCATTTACATCATCACCTGATGTTATTGTTTCATGTTTACCACTATCCGTTCGTGGTTTAGCTTTTTCTTTAAAATCAAGTTTTTTACTTTCAATCTTTGAAAAAAAAATATGATAATTAGTTTTATAAAAAAACAATACACTCTGAGAACATACTTTAACTGTACCACCACCTGGTTTATGATGAGTATTTTCAAGTGAACCAACTTTTGATTTTGCATTCCAATGTAATTTTTGATTTGGAATCTATAAAAATTATAATCAACAGCAATACTCATAGAAGCAGAATAATTTGATCCGAGAAGAATAGTCAATATCTGATTAACGAGTGAACCTTCGTATGTGCTAAAAAGTTTTTGATTCTACCGAAAATAACTGACGAACGAAGTCCTTAAGAATACATATATTGACTCTTAGAATATCGTCAAAGTTTATTTCGTCAAGATATTGAATTTTTAAATGAGCTCGATTTTTTTTAAACATGTTTATAACAATGGGCTATTTTTAGAAATTTAATATCTATAAGCAAAAATTTTATCTCTTATCAAGTTTAGAATTCAAAAATAAATAATTCAAGTCTTTTCTTCTATATATTCTCTTCACATGATTTACCTTAACAGTACCACCTCCAGCTTTATATGTTGTATTTTGAAGAGAACCAACTTTTGATGTAGTTGAATTCCATTGTGATTTAGTTGTAGTCTAAAATATAATATGAAAATATTGAATGATTAAAATGGAAATAATTCACCGTTGTTCCTGAAGCGCTTTCAACTGCAGTTGAACGTAATGTAGTATCAGCTGTTGATGGACGATTAGCACTAGTCGAACGTTTCGGAGGAACAGTAGTAGATGTAGTAGTTGTTGTAGATGGTCTTGAAGCTAAATAACAACAAAAAAAACAATAAATAATTTATTTAATTGAAAAAAAAACTTGAGTTTAACCTGTAGCTCGAGTCTGTGATGTTGGCCGTTGTTTTACAACTGTTGTTTTATTAGTCGATGCTACGTTTGAAGAAGCAGTAAGAGTATTAGAGGTTGTTTTTGTTGGTGGTTTTGTAGATGGTTGAGGTGCTCGCACATGTGATTTCGTTGTCGGATGTGTTGATGATGAAGCACTACCTTCCGGTGCAGTAGAAAGTGTTGTTGAATCGGAAGTTTTTGGAACTGTTGAAGGACGAATTGGTTTTGTTGTTGTTGTTGTTGTTGTTGTAGAACTAGCAGTAGGTTTTGGTTTTGTTGCAGCTGATTGAGTTTTAGCTGGAACATCACGCTAAAAGAAAAACAAAGAAAGAATGGATATTCTTATATTCATTATGATATATACTGTTGGTTTTGGTGCTGTTGATGATGATTCTTGAGTTGGAGAAGTAGGTTTATTAGAAGTTGTTGTTGGTCCTGGATGAAGTGTTTTACGTGTTGTTGTTGTTGTTGTTGTTGATGGTTTTGGTTCAGTAGATTTTGTTGTTGAAAGGACAGGTTTATGTTCTGTACTCTTTGCAGCAGCAGCTGGTTTATGTTCTGTGCTCTTCACAGCAGCAGCTGGTTTATTTTCTGTACTTTTTGATGTAGCAATTGTTGCTGCTGATGATGATGGTTTAGTTTTAGTTGTATATATTGATCGTGTTGTAGTAGTAGGTTTTTTTGTTGGTGTAGTTGAATCTGTTTTTGTTGATGAACTTGAATCTGTTTTTGTTGGTGAAGTTGAATCGGTTTTTGTTGGTGAAGTTGAATCTGTTTTTGTTGAAGTAGCAGATTGATTATCTTCAATTGTTGAAACTATAGGTTGTTGTTGATCAGATGTTGATGGCGAAGTAATTAAATCAAGTTTATCAGCTAATTCTTGTACAGCATCATCCAGTTCTCGTGATGCTTGACGTATTAATTGTTCTTCAGATTCATTTGATTGGGAAGAAATATTGAAATTTTCATTAGGTTTTGTTGATTTAATATCGAAAAATGGATTAGTAAAACTTGTTAAATTTGATTCTTGTTTATGTTGAATTATATTATCATGTGAACCTTCGAAATCAAGAAGTGTATCACTTTGATTAACTTGTTGTGATGATATATTTGAAAATTGTTTAAATGGATCATTTGGTGATGGTGTATCTGTATGAATAGGATTTGTAGAATTAGGTGCATCAGGATCAAGTTCAAGTAAAAGTGTATTTTTGTCTGCAACAGTACCATTTAATTGAGATTGAAAATTTAATAATGATGAATCATTTGATTCGTCATTATGATGTAATTTAGGATGAGTAACAGCTAAATACAATAAAAAATAAAATAAAATAAAATATAAATATTTTTATTTTTTATTTTCAAAATATTTTCTACTTGTTTCATGTTCATTTGGATCTACAGGAAAAAGATCATTTGTTAATGAAAATAGATTTAAATCATTATTATCCTTATTATTATTATTGTTTGTTCCATTATGATTCATTTCTTCTTGTCCATTTCGATTACCAAATGGATCAATATCATCTAATAAACGATTTTCAAATGAATCATTTGGTTTTGATTTTGTTGGTGATGATTGTTGTTGTGGTTGTTGATCAAACGAAACAAGTGGATCATCAAGTAAATTATGATCCGACATGAATAATCGTTCGAAGCTTATATATTAATCTAAAAGAATAATTATTTTTAATAAGAGAACAATAATGAATATGATCATAGATGAACTCTCATTGCCATCAGATAAATGATGATAATACTATAAGCTATAAACATAATAGTTCAATAAATGTATATATATATACATCAGATTGTTAAATGAGATATGTATAAAATTGTGACTGAAAACAGATGCTCATGTTTTAAACATGCATACTATAAATGATAACACTAGGAGAGAGAGAGAGAGAGATAGAGACTAATGTTTACATATGAAATAAATTATGTGTCATGTACTGCTACTGTTTTATGACGGCTCATTCTTTTTTTCACACTTCGCTTGACCTTTTGAACCTTGTCAACACGTGCTTAGATGATCCAATCGCTCAATCATTGACACCTATTCCTATTCAATTATCTCTGTGTATTTTTTACGAGAATAAAACCTTCCATTCAGTAGATGCAACCTATCGAACTATCTATAAAATAGAGAATAGAATTAATTAACATACAAAAAACAAAACAAAACTTTTATTGCATGATAGAATATAGTTTTGATAACATGATACATCCCTACTGATCTATAATTATAAACATAAAAATGACCTTATCATTAATACATATGTCATGAATTTCGTTCTTCCATTTCAACATATGTCATAAGTGAACTTATGAATTGACCATTTGATAATCTTCTAAGGTCACATTTCAATATGCTAATGCAAAAAAAAAGTTAGTTACTAACGCAAACACATTCTCTATATTAAAAACGAAAAAAAAACCAACAAAGAATTCTTAGTAACATATTTTAAAAACAGTTGCGTCATTGAAGTAAAAATAAAAATATATCTTACTCAGTTGTCACAAGGAGAAAAAAATATACTTGTTATAACAGAGCCTTGTCGGCAATAATCATACGAACGAATAAAATACTCCGTGTTTTCTTATTTTTTTTTTTTTTTTGTTCTTCTTCGTTTGTCGTTCTTTTTTTTCTTTTCTCTTTCTTTCCGTTCTATTTCAATCAAGAATGATTCAGCGACACAATAATACTAGTACGAAAACAAAATTACTTTCTCTACTTGCCCGACTCATTTTTTTTCTCTTCTCGTCATCTTTCTTTTACTTTGCCCCTTGCTGCCGCCACGAACGCCCAGACAAATACTTGATCCTCATCGTTATACACACATATACAGAATGGGAAGAACAGAAGAAGAAAAAAAAAGAGGCAACAACGACAAACTCATACAGAGAAAATGCAAATGGAATCTCATCATCTGGTGATGAAGAAAAAATTGAGCGAACGTGATGACGATGAAAGGGTTCATCGTGAACTCTCCTCCTTTTCTTTTGCTAAATCAAGCAAACTAAAATTAAGTTAACACATGGTCAATATCATTCAGTTTTTGAAGAATGATTGAAAGAGTAGTGTACACAGAGCACATACACATGCATAAGAAGAATACAAAATCAACGACAAACATTATACTCTCTTGTTCCTTCATACATTTTGTCTCTAGAGTGAATTAACATGATTTAAGCGGCATGAGACGAAGTTTCTTTCTTTTCGTTTGTCGATTAAATACAGAGCTTTAAGAAAAAAAAATGTCTCAAGAGAACCAGTTAATAATGATGAGATGAATCGACAAAAAAAACGAGAATATAAATGAAATTAACTATATTTTTCTCTTGCCATAAATGAAATGATATATTCTCAATGTGCACTTAATTTATTTTCTCTTATCTAAAAACTAAAAGATTTTACTTGCTTTTTTTTTTGTTTTATTTATATAAAATATATATATATATATATATATATATATATGGGGGCATATACAAGAAACAAAAAGAAGAAAAAAAAACGACATTAACCTATAAACGTGTATAGTGAATGAGAAGAAGAATTGACCATTACTACTAACTGACCACCGCATTCTCTCTTTTTTTCTCGTTGTCATTTTTTATCCATTCATTGTTTGGTAGACAGTAGATGACGCCAAATGTTGGATTTTATCCATTGTTAGAGTTGACTTCCGTTGAATAATTATCATTCGAGTTCACTTGACTGCTTTAATTTTAATGAAATTATATGATGTAAGACTTATCTATTTACATAATATCGATAAAATTAGTTCTAAATGTATGATTTCTCATTAATACAATAATAATCAAATTGATTAATTGAAGTTACTCATTTAAGTTCTAAGTCTAACAAATCTTATTATTGACATTAACAAGATAAATGACAGCTTGTTTTGGAATGTAGCCCTTAAATAACTAATTATTTCTTCATATGTTGAATAATAACGATAACATAAACTGCGAAATGTCAATCATCAAGACGAAAAATCTATATAAACATGATGATTGTTGCTATGATACTAATAGAAATATTATTGTCGAATGCAAAAGTAGTGTTTATTGATAATGTTGAGCTTCTTTTTTTTTTTGTATTTGCATGTTTAAAAATCGTAAAAGCAATAAAGGATAAAAGCAATGATACTAAGTAATAAGATTCAAGTAAAATAGCGATCAATCTTTTCATATCACGAACTTGATATATGTTATTAAGAATTGATGAATTGAAATTATTTTTGTTAAAATTTTATATTTTTTGATGATATGTCTTGATTCTCGGTTTGGACTTTATTTAGTTCAGGACATATTGAATTTTATTCATTTGGATCATTAAAAAACAGTATATTTCAATATGATTTTCGATAAAATGAATGTATGCTTTCTCTAATCGTTCTTTTATTTATTGAATCATACAATAATGATATAATGGATTGTATTTATTATTGATTACAGTATGCGTGAAAGCAAAATTTATATATACGCCATTGCATGAGTTCGTAATGATATTTACAAAATACGTGTACATTGGGATTATTCGATTCGATCTCTTGCATACGTCTGACAACAAAGAGAATCATTGTTGTTAGAAAAAAGAAATGAAATATTGTTATTTGAAGGAAATTTTTTGATTAATTCAGATTTTGTAATAATTGATCGTTTGAAATGAAGTGTTACACTCAAATCTCTAATGCAATCAATAAAAAAAAAAAGCAATTTTCGTTAGATGTTGTTGTATTACTGTTAAAAGATAATTATTTATATAACTATCATCTATTTTTACACAGCTACTTGTTGTTATAAGATAAACGAGTTTTTTTTTATAATAACCGTTTTCATTACACAGTAAAATAGATAACAACATGGTGCGGTCAGAATGATATAAGCTAGCTCGTTTTTTAAGATAAATATTACCTGTGCAACTTCGTTGAATGTAACGTAAAAAATTGTTTTTATTTATATTTAAACAATGTCAATTTGTTAAATTTTTAGCTTAGAATGGAAGAGAAGAATTTTTGTTTTTAAATAAAAAACTTTGATGAATGAATTTGTTGTTTTATCCATAGATGAAAATTATATCCACAGGATTTAATTCACACGTTTTTATAGTTCAGAACCTAACGAATTACTGTCCGAAATTTATAACAATGACGAGCATAGTTTGTGAATAAGTGTGTCTATTGAATAAAGTCTAGACATATAGTGTATCTTATTCTTATTTTCATTCTCGATTCAAACATGAATTCAAATCCAGATAAAATAATAACATAAGACATAATTATTATTAAAAAAGATTCACTAACACATATATTGAATTACTTAAGTATACAACTATAATCAAAGAAACAAAAAAAACAAAAAGAATCATTTAATTACATATTTTCATTATCTGATCTTTCAATAGATAATATTACATTTTGAAGTAAATTATTTGATGTTCGAATAGTATAATCAATTTTTCCTTCGATTAAATAAAATAATTCTTCTAAACGTGCTATTCGATATCGTAATTGTGCCCATTGTTGTATTGTACATAAATTTCTTGCACGTTTACTCCATTCTTGTTGTTCATTAAAATCTATTAATGGTATATTACCAGAAAATAAACTTTGTAATGTATCACGTTGACGATTTTTATCATCACGTGAATATTTTAAAAAAGCTTGAAAATCTTTTTTTGATATTAATTTTGTCATATCATGTGCAAATGCATGTCGAAGTTCATCATATAATGATGATGTTGTAGAATATTTAAATTCTTGTAAAAGATCAGCAACTGTTTTAGAATTTAATGGATCTTCAGCACTAATTATAAATTGAACAATAACTTTAACTTTTTCCCAAAGACCAAATCGTTCAAAAAATTTTCGAATAGATTGTTTAATAACTGGTGTTACATCAATTAACATTCGATTAATTACATCACGATGTTCATTACCTAATTCTTCATATGAATCGACTATAATAGCCTAAAAACAAATCGATTAATTTTAAGACAGAAAAAAAAAAGTTGAATATTTGCAAAAAAAAAAAACAATACATACTAAAACCATGTTGAATAAAATAAAGACCATAGAGAAAATATCTGAAATACGATTTAAACTTTAGAAAATTGAAATAAAATATTAAAAAACTTACAAAGAAAAAAGAATAATGGTCCAACAATTGGTGAAGCATCACTAATAGCTTCATAATCAAAATCACCAAGTACAGTACGAAAAAGTGCAACAAATGCTTTGCCAACTGTTGAAAATGCTGGAGCTTGTTGACCAAGTGCTAGATTGCCAAACTAAATATATCAACGAATTTTAAACTAAATCATTTTTGCATTCTAATATAGAGATTTTTGATTGATATAAGATCGTCATTAAGTTTCGGATATGTTTACCAATGCTATAAAATCATTCAAACTTCTATTAAAATAATTTTTGAGATACAAAGATGTTATTGAAGTTGTCTTCTTTCAATATTCATAAAAGAATTTTTTTTCAATTTTCGAAGAGGTCTACTGAAACCTAGATTAATAATTTCGGCGTGCACGGATTTGTGAATTGCCAGAAGGTTCTCACCGAAAAGAGGTGGCTTCAGACCAGAAAACGAAAGGAATCTGGAAGCAGAAATTCCGTGATCGAGTTCGGTGGTAATAAACTGATGATTTCTTTTTTTCATTATTATTTGTGCTCATTCAAATGAGAGGAAAGAATTTTTTGAATATTATCCAGTTCCGTAGAAAGTCTCAATGATATATCAAGATTTTGACCTTTCTGAAAAATGAAGAAATTAATAATTAAAAAGCCTCTGCTCTTTATTCGAATGGGTGAACAGCTTCGATTCTGTATCTTCGAGTAGAGTGAAAAAGTGTTAATTCAGTCTGAAGAGCCATAATATGTCTTAATCTACAGCTAAAGGTTTCAAGATCTTGATTCAATATTTCAATATGTTTTGAAATTACTTGTGCATAAGCTACCATAATTGCAACAAACATAACAAGAAAACCAATAAGATCTCCAAAACATCTTTGAATTGTTGCTTTTATTCGAATAATTGTTACAGCAAAATCACAATATTTTAATATACGTATAATACTAATTGATGTAAGAAGAATACTTAATGTATCAAATAAACTTTGAAGACGAAGTAATTTAATAGTTAAATCATCAAATGTTGAAATATATATAGACATTTTACCATATAATGGAGAATTAATAGTTAAAAGACGACGTATATTAGCAATAATCATTAAAATTGAGATAATCTAAAGAAAATCAAAGATAAAATAATATTTTTTTTTTCTCTAAGCTTCCTAGAAAAATCGAAATTGAGATAAATGCATGAGAAATCTAATTTTTTCATAAACGACATGATTTTTTATTTGATATTTCCTTCTTTGCTTGTTTACAGAAAAAGCAGGAAATGTTTTTCATTGATTACACATCACGAAATTCTCGAAGAAGTGTTATTGTAGCCGATAGTTTTGTAATTTTTTGTTTGAAAGAGAATGTGAAGCTGCAGTGTCCATTTTTTTGAATTAAGTTTTTTTATTATTATATAAAAAAATTTACTTCTATAAATAGATGAGCATTTATCGAGGTATTAAAGTTGTGATCCTTTTTCTCCACATAAAAAGCATTGTAGTCTGACTTACTCTTTCAAATAAAATAGAATAAGAGCGTAAATACAGAGAGTTTTCGAATTGCTAAATGACTCTTGTTTGTTGAATATCTCCCGAGAACGTCGTGATATAGAATTGAAAAGAATAGGGGCACATAAGGACTAATTATGTATTGTTAGTAGCGGCTAGATTTGCCAACTCATTCACTACAAAATCTAGTACTTATGTCGTCCTCTTCCTTTTAGCATAGTCTCCTCTTACAACTCCTGCATATCCTGTGATTTGCGTATACCTGATCCAAGCTCAATTTTTGAGGAGAATGGTAGGCGGCGACTTAAATTTTACTTACTAAAAGAATGATGTCAATCCAATTCCAAATATTAAGAAAAATTTTCAATCTTAATTCGATGATTTTTACTATTTCAATGAAAATAAATGTAATAGTAAATGTAACAATAATAATTTCACATCCTATAAGAATATATTTTGTTGAAGTTATATACTAAAAAAAAAAATAAAACGTATTTTAGAAATAGAATTTTTATTTATTTCTAATTTACTCTAAATAATTGTTTATTTTCAATTTTATATGATGGAAAAATTCCACCAGTTAATGGCATTTCAAATATAAATTTTATATAAGAAAATAAATTAACACTTGGATTATAAGTTACAATATCAATAAATAATGCTCGTGTTGCTTTATCAAGCCAATGAAATTTTTCTAATTCATTTATATCATTTGTAAAATGTTTATTTGTTCGTACATATTGAGCAAGATCAGCTACATATCCACTACCATCATATGTACCATATTGACCAGTATATGAACCCATTCCAGTTTTATCAGCTGACATGTAATTCCATGCTTGTTTCATATTAATTTTTGTACTATCACTGAGTGTGATAGGACCAACTATGAAATTATTTCATAATAATGAATAAGATTTACTGATCGTGTAAAATAGAATAGTAGCTGGAAACTCGTGGTTTTCTTTATTGTAAAGTCAAAAGTTCGAAATGCTAAGTATATAGAATTGTATCATTTTTTATATCTTCACAAGGAAGAAATAAACTCTGCTCCGGGATGGAAGATCGCTCTTGGAGAAACGATGCGCCGAATGTAATAGAAGACTTCCCATCATTAATTAATTTCTCACAAGTTTGGAGTTTCAATCAGTATATTTTAATGGGGTAACTAGGTGATCGTAGGTGGTATAACAGTCCCATACTATCTTTGGCGGTAGTTAGTGCAATATAATATCAGTGATGATAATTATCACATTTCCCTTTGTTTCATAGGTAGGGCGGCGCCGGACTTAGCCCATTCTCGATTACACAATTCTGAATTTTTAAAACTCTTTTTCTAAATCCTCAAAATCTTTTTGAAAAACTCCTGTTAATTAGTAAATGAACTCCATAGAAAAAAAAACGGAATCTCCTATTTCTGGAAGCTATCTAGCATAAACAGGGAATGATAGAATGTATAAATCATGAGTATAGGGATGAACCATACATGAACAGACTTATTAAAATGTAAACAGTAGTGATGGTTGATTACGCCTAATAAAATCCAATGGCTAGCCAAAGATTAAATTATTCTTAAACGATTGCTTTTCAAAATTTTTATTAAACTTTTTCGTATTCATGTAAAAATTCGATCGTTCAAGTAATTTTCAACTGTTGAATCTTGAACTATACCCATGAAATGCATAATCATCGCATCGACGAGACCTTTTTCCTTCCGTAAAGTAGTTTCCTAATTAAATATTTTTAAGATTACCCCTTATGTAATAATCCTTCTAAGAATGAGATATGTTGTCAAAGCCTGTCGGGTTCACAATTTTCGGACTCGGGCCCGATCGGCTCTATATATGGTAGATTAATATACACTGTTCTTTGTTCAACTTTTATTTTACATTGACATAATTCTCATCAAACTTACAATAATTCAAAACAATCATAGACTAGACAGATGCATTTTAAAAAATATTGAGGATGTGATCTGAAAAGAAACTATAAGACGATAGACACTATAAATTACAATGTAAATTTTTAAACTAACGTATTCCGAGAACAATTTGAGGGTGGGTGTGGCTTTTGTCCTCTTTGATTACAACACCCACACACACCCTACTTTACTAGTTACTCGGTAACTAAGTAGCGGAAAATTCTGGATTCGATTCTTTCATGAAGGAATCTGAATCTGTAATTAATTTCTCAAAATTATGTAGTTTATTCTTCGATCAAGTAAACTGCACCACAAAGACTTCTAATGGAACTTTATAAGGAAAATCGTTATTTTCCTCCAAAACTCTTTTTTAGTGAAAAATCAAATACTGAATTTTAAGACATCGATTACAGATTCGGATTCTCCGACTCCGAAACCTTTTACAACAAATCGTTATTTACCAAAAAACTCTCCTGTCCTTGAGAAAAGAATGAAATCCAGAATTTCGTTGTTATTTGGTAACCGAGTAACTGGTAAAGTAGCTGCCTGTGTAATAGTGACTTTCTATTCCTAATCAATGCCAATCCCAACCAATTCCAATTCCGATTCCAAGTAATTCAAAATCTAGATTTGAAATTGGTGCATCCCTATTCCATAGAACTGCATCCTGATATATGACGATCACCATTAAGCTTTATCTGATTGAGATGAAGATACTTAAGACTATTTCTCAGATGTAATTTTAAGTTTTTTGCGAAAACTTCATTTGCTTTTTTTTGCATGAGAGAAATACATAAATGTTCGGTGATAAAATCAGAGTCTTAACTTTCAGAATCCTGTAAATCCAGATAGGAAAGTCAAAAACACAAACGATCGATTTTATCTAGTGAAGAACTTTTTTTGAAATAAACAGAAAACTTACAAGGATCTGTATCTTTTTTGTCTAATGAATATGCTGGATAACAATCAGCTATTTCATCTGAATATGATTTTGGTATATTACATTTTTCAGGTTTAACACGAACTTGTCTCATTCTAATAACACCAATCATTAAAAAATGATCAAGTACCCAACGAATAGAACGTTGAGATGTAACTGTTGAATTTGATTGCCATATATGAGAACGATAAAAAACATTTCCAATTGTTTCATTCATAAATTGCCATATCTAGACATATATATTTAAAAATGATTTTATTTATTTTTGAAAATAAATTATTTTACATCATCAAATGTAGCAATTTGATTAAAATCAATCATAAATATATCTCCATATTTATTTTGTACATTTTTATAAGGATTAGATCGAATATTTCGTTCAATCCAAGAAGATTTAACAGGAAATCGTGCATCAATTAAATGATATTCAAATGTATTTGTAATAAAAAAATCATGTTTTGATTGAGATAAAAAAATAACAATTAAGATATTACCAACAAAAATCATATAAATAAAAAATGCACGTAATACTAATATAGCATGTTGTTCTGTATTATCATCTGTTTCTTTTCGATCGATATTAAATGATAAAAAAAATTGAATAATTTTATGAAATTTAGATTGTATTGATTTGTGAACTGTTGGAGAAGCCAATGAAGATTTCGATGAAAATGAATCAATCGATCGAATAATTGTCGTAGAGGACATGATAATTGATGATATTCAAATCGCCACATTTCAAGAATACGATTCAAGTATTTCGTAGCTTCTATATAATTATCATATATAATTCCAAATAGGGCGCATTCTTTTTTTTCTTCTTCTCAAAAATGTTGAGTCATCGATACAATCATTAATTAATCTGTGACTCACTCACTGTGATTTTCAACATTTAAATAAGAAGCCTTGAGGAGTTTTTTTTTTTTAAAATGTAAATTTCGATTGGTTCAAGGTGGTTGGTTAGATGAATATTGACTGAAGACTTTGAGAACCGTTTTTTCGAAACTTTTCCATTTTAGTTTGATTTTCTTCATTCCTCACCAAGATTTTTAAACTGCATCCTCAAGAGCTGTAAAGTTTTTCCACAAAGCATCAATTTGAGCAATTCATTTTATATCATCTGAAACCAGATCTAAATAGATGTAATGAACTATATTGAGTTAAACAGTAATGTTTGCACAACAGCAATGGAGTGTAGTAATAAATTAGGAATGAACAGAAATCATAAGAAGATGATAAACCAACGTTTCATGACTCTTTTTCTTTTAACTTTTACAAATTTGACTAAAAAAGCAATTGAGAATCGAAAGACTTTAGCTTTTTTTTCTATTGGAATCGTTCGTCTCGATGTAAAAACCACTATAATCAATTGAAAAATACATTTCAATTAAATCAATTCTCTGCAAAAAACAAAAAACTCTTATTAATAGAGAAATTCATAGTACATTCTTCTATAATATCATGTAAACGCATTTTCTTCGCATTAATGTAAAACTAGCTTGAAATTAGCAAATTTCTCATATTTCTTCATTATAGAATATTTATAATTTAATGAGAATGTACAAAATGATTGATGATCTTTTTTGTGTTTGTTAATGTGATATAGGAAAAGAGAAAAAAAAAGCAGATTCATTTATCAGAACTAGATGTAATACATGTCTGTCAAGGTGTTTGATCTTCAAGTTTTCTTATAATAATGATTAACTATCTTATTTATCTTAACAATCAAGGACAAACATAAAAATAATTTTGTTAAGGTATTCGTAATCGTTCAGATTTTTTTTTTCTTTATATCGTTTTCTAATTATCTTCATAAGAATTATCTTGTCTTTTATCAATCAAACATCATAAACTTTTTCTTTTATGATTACTATATGTAAATAGAATGATACAATATGAATAAATATTTCAGGCATCTCACATTCGATTACATATTTAATTATAGTCATCATTAGCATGAAAATGTTTATTAAATATTTTCTTGTGTTTTTATCTTCTAGGCAAACATCAACATTCAAAAATAAACATACATGTAAAAAAAGCCGTGAAATTTTGCTCAGATAATACAAAATTCAAATTTTTTTACAAAAAAGACACCTATGAAACTTGGCTATGTAAAGAATTGTATATCTGAATCGAAATTGAAGTTTATTTATACAAAAAAAAAATTAATCCGTTGTGTTTGAACCATGATCATTTCGTAGATGAATTAAGTAATCATTACTTGAATTATAACGTTTTTGACAAAATCGACATTCATATATATTTAAATGATCAGCAGCAACCATAGCTAAACGACGTTGTCGTTCATCATCAGATACATTTGATCGAAGAGAATTATTTCCACATGACATACATTCAAATACAAGACCTTTTTGTTTCGGAAATTCATGTTGTGTTATATCAATTAATTGTGTTGTACCACAACGTGTACACATTGGTTTTGTTATTTGTTTATCAATTGTATCTGTTTGTTTAGATGATTTGTCTGGACGTTTATCTGTTTTTTGTTGATTTGATGATACGAAAACAGATGCTTGAAAATCATTCGTATTCATTTAAATAAATAGATAAGATTTTCTTATCGATTGAAAATAAATAAATAAAGATAGATTCCTTCTGTTTTCGAGAAAAAAAAATTCATCATTTGTTATAATCTTCCAATGAAACTTAATTAATAGTCATATGGAATAATTAAAGAGATGTCGCATCTATATGCTCAATAAAAAGTTTAAATTGTGTTGAAAAGTTCGCAATCAATGAAATTAAATTAAGTTTACCACCAATTGAATTATAGACTTAATTGTTTTTCTACAAAATCTTCTACGTTCTTATGTATTTGTTATAGTAACAAAGAAAATATATGCAAAATAAATAAAATATTTCAAGACATTTAATTAACAAATAAGAATTTTATCATCTTATCGAAAAGATCAATATTGTCTTTAGTTTTATCAAACGTTATTAGTTGATCACACTTTTGTTTTTGTTCTTTTTTACCTTATGAACTAGAATGTGATAGCAATCATTTTGTACAGTCAAAATCAAATATTCTTTTAATGATTATTGTAGAAAGATATCGATCATGACTATTTACTGATCGGTTAATCTGTCATATATACATCTAAACTGATGAAGGTTTTTTTTTCTGATAATATCTTGAAATGACAACTGCTTGTTCGAAAAATGTCATGGACACGAACTGGATTGAAGTCGTCGCCATTGATGTCATATATAATTAATATACTGTGATATGTAACTGAATAAATATATTTGACATAAAAATTTATTAAAATCCTCGAAAAAGGTATCCATATGGAGCATTTTCCTCACATTAGAAAATCTGAGAGAGCTTCAGATATGATTTGTCAAACTTTTTGACTATTGTTGATGAGGAACACACGTAAATTCTATATAGCGAACTTGTCGTAATGGGTTAACAGGAATGTGATTATCAGGATTTTGACGAGTTGTTTGATTTCCGAAGGACTTTTTACAGTAAAAAGTTTGTTCAAGTACCAACAAGGAATTGGACAAATTTTAAAAGAACTTATAGAGTTTCATGGATATTCTTACTTCATTCCACTGCAGCTCATCGATAAATCAGAATTTCGATAATTGTTAGTATTGCCGAGATTCCGGCGAACATTCCACACAATCTTGAAAAGTTTTCTCATATGAAAGAAAAGCCAGGTCGAGGCAAACACTCGACCGTTCAGAACGCCTTGACCTAGGTCGAGTTAATTCAATATTATGATTTACATGAAATTTTCGAATTCATACAAATCTGATGTTCTAAACAAATTAAAAAATCATTAATATGTGTATTATCTCAATTTCTTATGAATATCTCATTAAGAAAAATATAATTTTTTTTTTCTTAAATCAAACGAAATTAACACAAATAAATTTATTATTATAAAGTAAAAATACAATTTTAATTGAAAATTTAAAAAAAGAAAAAGACAAATTTAAATTGTATCATTTGTTTTTTTTTTTTCGTTGCCTAATTTAAAGTTTATCAACTATGAAATTTAAGATTGCACATCGAATAACAATCTTACTTGTGATTGTAAATTAGACGAATCAAAATGTTCTTCAGGTGTTTGAGAAGAATAATACTGTTGTTGTGTTTGTTGCTGATGATGATGTTGTAGTTGTTGTTGCTGTTGTTGTTGTTGTTGTTGTTGTATAGAAAAATTATTAATTTGAAAATCTGGAGGTGTTGATACAGATGATGTTACTTGATTTTCTTGCCAAATTGATGATGAATGAGGATTAAGAAAATGTTCATAAACATCAACATCACCAGTGACTAAACGAGAATTTGTTATTGATGAATTAATTAATTTATCAGTTGTTGATAAAGAATATCTTTGATTATCAATTGTTAATGGTGGTGGTGGTGTTGATGAACAAAATTGATCAGTTGTTTTCGATGGAAAACCATCTGTACTTAAATCAAAATCAAAATTATGATTGGAATTTATTCGTTGTTCATCAATAGAAACAAGTTGAAATTCATCTAGAATAGCATCAACATTCTCAATACATTGCGTTTGCCATGAATCATTCTTATCAAATGATAATAAATCTTGATTTGAATTTAATATAGGTGTATTAGTTGTTGTTGTTGTTGTTACGGATCCTAATGAGGATGATGTTGGAATATTTGACCATGAAATTGGTTTATTAATTAAATTGAGTGTAGGTGTTATAGGTGAAGCTATAGTTGGTTTTTCAATAGGTTCTGGTTCGGAACATGCTGTACCTGTTGAATGTGGTCTATCAAGAATATTTTTACGATTACGATTACGTTTTGGAGTAATATTATTTGTTGATTTCAATCGGTTTCTTTTTTTACTATTGTTTGTCATTGCAGGTGGTAATCCTGTATGAATTTCATTTTGTTCTGTTGCTGTTGGAAAAACTACTTGTTGTGCAATATTCACAACATCTTGATGAGTTAAAGCTGATCCAATTGTATCATAAGTTGTTTGTTGTTGTTGTTGTTTTTGATAAAGTGGTGATAACCATGTTTTTGTTGTTACTGTTCCATTTTGTACCCAAACAAGTTGTGATGATGGTAATTGTTGTCGTTTTGTTTGTATAAATGATGAATCATCAATACGTATATCTCCTTTACCATTAATAACATCATCTATTGTTTGATCGATTTCTGAACTGCTTACTGTTGTTTGAATGGAAAATGGTGAAACTAATTTTATTGTTGAATTAGATGATGATGATGAGGATGAGGATGATGAGGATGATGATGATGATATATGTTCTTCTTTAATCATAAATGTTGATTGTTCTTGTTTGGAATCATCTAATCAATAAATTTATTTTTCAAAAGAAAAACAAACAAAAAAAACAAAAAAAAAGTCTCATACTTAAATTAAATTGATTATAAAATGATGATTGATCTTGTATTGTTCCATTTGGTAAACTTATTTGTTTAACAATACGTCGTTTTTTTTGACGAGAATTTGTTGAACCAGTACTACGTTGTCGCATGATTGGTTTTTTTATTGTTGGAAAACTTAATAATAATAATAATAATAATAATAAATCAAGAAAAAAGATTTTTTTTTTTGAGTTTTGAAAATTTTTACTTTGATTGTTGTTGAGAAACAATTGTTGCTATATTTGATGATGAATCGGATGTTTTTGAATTTGAAATTGAAAATTGTAATAATGTTGTT